AGGTTTTGCAATTGGGGGGGGGGGGGCTGCGTTCCCCCCCAACCACCCTGCTGATATTTTACAAAGCGCATTTACGCACGCATGTGTGATCATATTCACCTTTTTCAACATGACTTGTCATCAGTTTCCTCGTTATCTACTCGCCATTTTCATTATTTTCCACATTTTCTGCCCTTTTCCATCATTTTCCACATTTTCCAAATTTTTCACTATTTTTCATTATTTTTCCATGACGTTTCATGAACATCTTCGTGATTCTGATCATGTTTCATCATGTTTCATCATGTGTCACAGTTTGCCTCATTATTCTCATGATTTTCTCATCATTTCACCATGTTTCATCACTCATCATGTTCCATCATTTCTCATTATTTTTCATTTTCATATTTGTCATATTTCATTGTTGTTATGATTCGTCATCATTTTTCGTTATTCACGACAATTTTTTAATCTATTTGCATTGTTTTCGCGGTGTTTCATCATATTCATCATGTTTCACCATTTTCTATATTTATCATTATTTCCATGTTTGCACACAATTTTCATCACGCTTCCTATTCATAATCCTTTTGTTCATCCTTTCCCGTTACTTTTCATGCTTCATAAATTGTCATTTTTCGCGAATTTTGTTCACTTTTCATTGTGTTCATGTTTTTCTTAACCGTTCATAAATTTCACTATTACCTGATTTTCCTGATTTTTCATCCTGTGCTAATCTGTCCAATTGCTTCATAATTTACACAATTTCCATTACTTCTCATTAACCATTACTACTCCCACAATGACGGTTACTATTACTGTTAGTACCACCACCACTACTATCACTACTACCACGTCTACCGCGACCTCCTACTACTACTACTACTACTACGACGTTACCGAAAGAAGTTTGTTTTTGATGCCTGTCCTTTGTCCTGGCCCCCTATTAAATGTAGTGCATTTTTTTATGTTGATGCTCTAAACAAATTTGTTTGATCCCTCACCCTTGCATTCATGTTGGTGTTCTGGCTTGATGCCTGGCAACTGGCTCTTGGAAAAAGACAGGAATCTCATGAAAGGGGCATGTTGGACATGATCTTAGCTGAACTGTGCGGTGAAGGCGGCACCTTCCTCCGGCTGTCAATCTTTGCATGTTGCTTTCTCACCCTCATGGCCCTGAAACACACTTTCAAAAGCTGTGTTCTTTGAATTTGCGTGACTGCAGGTTTGGACTCAGCGGGGCCCGCAACACCTCAACTACTGGGCATTGGCTGAGAGTGGCTTGCTGAACTCAGGGCCATGGCCTTGGCAGCTTAGTAAGGTTGCTATAACTCCCCAACTTTTCGAACGGCGCAGCTGTGTTTGATGCGGAGATCGTTTTCTTGGAACTTGGCCTTTGCCTGACTACTTCCTCCTGCTGCTGCTTTTCTAGGGGGTCCATCACTACGCTACCCAAGCCTCCGGCCTTGCATCTTTTGGCCGTGACTGTTTCTCCCAAGCTCTGATCGACACATGTTGCAATGCAGCCGAGGGGCATCTTCTACCGGACCAGGCCCGCAACCGCGATCAGCAAGAAGCCAAGCGAAGCCAAAGCCGTGACACCGGAGGCTGGCACTTGGCAGGACTTCTCATCTGTGGACTCGTTGGGCCCAGGTCACAACAAATTCATCATCAGGACGTCGCCTGACGGAACCACTGCTGTTTGGCAAGAGCCACAGGGAGCGAAACGTGGCTGTAACGCGTGTTTTAGAGATGGTCGGCCTTTGAGGGCACCTTTTTGTGCTGTGCCAAGGACCGGCTCCACCAACATAACAGCTGGTGCCATTTTCGGTCACAGCAATGTTGGGCACATCCTCTCTCAGCCGCTCACCCGGCCGGCGAGTGCAGGGAAGCAGGTTTGGATTTTCCCTGCCCTTGCTGAGTTGAGGCACGATATCTGCCAAAAGTATCGTGCCTATTGGGAGAAGCTCCTTGAGGATCCAGACAAGAAGGTGACTGGATTGCAGTCGGACATTGCTGTTTTTCAGAGATCTGTGGTTTTCGGGTATTCTCTTGATATTTCGGATACCTTCTGATAGCTTTCCCCCGAACGGGAAACCTATGGCTTGGGTCAGCGATGCCTTGTTGACAATTAGGCTGCTGTAGCTACAGATGCATGTGCACTATATATACCCAGGACTTCGCCAAATTCAATGAAGAATTGTCACCGCTGCCCGAGGACCAGCAATACTACTATGATCTGAGCAAAGATACAGCGGGCAGATCCAGTGTACAGTAGCAGTCGCCGGAGGAGAACAATTGGTCGGAACTGGTTCTTTTCTCGCCGCGATTGCGTACAGCACTTACACCAGCAAGCATCACATTCAAAAAAAAGTGCACGGATTGCTTTGCTCTCATGCCCAACTATACAGGTTGGGCCGATGCCTTGTCCTTCATGGCCCAGCTCATCCTGAGAGCGAGGCCAGAAGCTCTCCTTCAGGATATGGGGATGTCATCAGAGTGGAGAATCAGATTGGAAAAGGAAACGGCAAATGTACTGGAAACCCTAGGTCCATTAAACGTGTATGTAGGGGCTAGGGATTACATGCAGTAGGGATGATACCCCAATAAAGGAGACATAAATGGAACAGCAAATGAACAATGGAATGGGGTTATGTGGTTTTCCGTATACATATATATACACATATTCATATAGAGACGGAAATGGCAAAGACGTTTGAACCACAATGCTATGTAACTGTGTATATCATTCAGGATTATATCAGGGGCTACTACAGGGATCCATTTAACTACGTATATCATTGGGAATAGTATCATGGGCTACTACAAGGATCCATTCCTCCATTCCGGGGAGGATCGATTTCGCCCAACACTCTTTCTGCTGCTCAGGCACAGTGTGGCCTTCACTGCTGCCTTCGGCATAAGCCGCATGCCATTCTGTCCCTCGAGCATGAGCATTTGGATCATGCAGTGGAGCAGAGGCCGTGAGATTTCTCCTGCGCTTCTTGCCGCCGGGTCTGAAGGAGCAGGCAAGGTGCAAAGGGCATCCCGAACAGTTCTTCTTCTTGCCACTTGCCGGTGCTTCTGGGGGAGTGGAGTGGTGAAGTGCATCCCTATAATCATCCGCATATGCTGAAGATATCGCATTCTGGAGCAATATTCAGTCACCCACACACTTGGGCAAGCTGGTTGGACAGCCAAAGGTGCAGCAGTTCCTACTTACCTTCTGCTGGAGAGCCAGGGAAACTGGCAGGCATCGAGAGATGCACCAGCCTAAGGGGAAGGGCGAAATTGAAGCATCTGTGAATATCAGCATTGCGCATTAGTAATGCTTACACAAATATATTAATAAGAGTGCCAACCACTACGATACAATGTGATCTTTACATGTGTATATGTATGCGCGCATATAAGCATGCTCGGTTCAACTTGCGGCAACTTCGAGTGATGTGGGAGTATGCCAGCTTGGGAAGTCACCTGTCCAGTTTCTCCTTGCACGGCTGTGTGCATGGCGTAGAAGAGACTGTGTTTTCCATCCTTCGCACGCCATGCATCAAGTTACTTCGGGACATGTAAACTGCGCCGACAACAAAATATGGATGGCTTTGCCTTGAATGCCCGAGGCTGTTCAAGCACTTCAACGTGTGGGGCTTGGGCAACCCACGCTGTACCGTGAAGGTGCCTCTCTTGCCAAGACATCAATGGTGGATCCTGATTGTGTGCTAGACCGCCCAACCCCAAGAAGCAAAATACGGTCCCCAATTCGCGGGGTCCCGCCAAACAAACTTGGGTCGCAGTGTTTAACCTGATATCAATAGGTGCAAGGCTCCAGCAGCTAAATCAAGGTCTGCCGGCCGCGGAACTTTGAACTCTCCAGCGCCCCCAAACACACTGCGGGATGTTGGGCAATTTCGCCCAAGATTGGCACAATTCAGAACCTCCACACTTCGCCAATGGGCATTCGCCGTTGCCATTTACTATTTGCTTTCTTCCCTGGTGCGATGCTTGGTACACCATTGGTGTTGCGATTTGTTCATGTCTTGGCATTTCCTTGAAGCGTCAACACCGAGGGAAAGCCAATGTGAGGATTGCTTTTGGAATGCACCTGGAGGCCTTGACGGTTGACATGTTCGCAGTATGCCTCGTATGTTCTCACGTTAGTTAGTATGGGCTTTTGTCCGGTGCCTGGTAACATTTTGAGATAATTCCAGTCAAGTCTGGCATCCCTGCCATGAATCTGGAAAGGCGTAGTTTAGCTGCTCATAAACTCAGCAACCTTCTTCGGTTTGCGTTCAGGTAGTGACTGGCAATTTGGAATTTGACATGTTCTCCCTCGGCATTTTGTTCGCCACAATTGCAAAACAGAATGGGCAGGTCCCACCCATCAAGTCGCAGCCGAACAGTCCAGAGCTTGGAATAGATGCCCAACTGTTGTCTCATCACCTGCGCACCCCGGCCATTTAGATCAGGCGGAGCATGGATACCAGAGACGTTGACAGGGCTCAACGAGCATGCCATTGACTCACTGTTTGGAGAGACCTGCGCCAAAGGTTCTCTTGATTGACCTCAGGTTCGGTATGTCCACACGAAGATTCTGCTAGTTGACATGTTCTCCGATTCGCCTATAGCCGTGGCCCCACTATTTTGCCATGGTGGCTTAGCACGTTTATTCTGCTCGTCTTTCATGTTTGGCAGTCTACTGCTCACTTTTGCTAAGGTCGTTTCTGGCTTGCATCTCAAGATCTTGCTGGATTTCACGTGGCTTTAGGACCCGGTGGCGCAAGACTGCTTGCGGCTGAGGAAGCGGAAATTTTTCCAGAGCCGCTATGGAGTCAAATGACGTGTTCCTAGCTCGCTTGACATTTGTGCCACCTACTTGGCTTTTCTGTCTTGCCGGGCGGATCCAGGAGAATGTGGTGGTGGTTCGTGGCGACCGGAACTTGACGGGGTCCCAGTCCATGCCCTCTAGACATATCATGTTTTTTGATGTTTGCGAGAGCAGGGAAGCGATGGAAAATCCTGGACGGCCAAGAAGTGTAGAAGTCCAGTCCTTGCGCTATCCCATCCTGAGCGCAATACACTACAAAGGTGGCATTTCATAGCATGGCACGGGAACGGGAGCCATATTTGAGACACTGAGTCACTAAGTTTCACCTTGTCCTCGAACCTAAGGTCTGATGCATATTCTGTCGAGTTCTTCCGCATCTTTGAGCACATGCGCTTCCGCAACGAAGTTCAAGGCGTCGGACATTTCTTTTCTACGGGAAGGGCCCAACAACCTCCTCCTTGACTCCGCGTTTTGAGTCTTCCCGTATGCCCTGCCAGCAGGAGTTGGCAAGCGGTCCGAGGTCGACACAACTGCAGATCCTCAGGTGGTTTCCCTAAACTCGGGTTTGCCTGGCTTTCAGGCTGCGTTCAGCTTCTTGCAGAGGGGGGCATGGGTCTGCATCCGGCAGCTGTCGTAGACGTTTGCAAGCCTGCCCTGGGGCCGTCTGTCTGTCATGTCAAATGAGCGGACATTCTGAGGCTGACTTAGTCATGTGCAGATGTGGCCAAGCAGCCTGGGACTCAGTGCACAAGCTTTGGCAAGGTATGTCGGGCATGGGTGTAGCTGCACAAAGCTGCCTGCAGAGAAGAAACAAGAAACATCACTGCTAGGAGCGCCAGCTGTTTGTGACTCAGGTCGCAGAGCGCACAGTCAAGAAAGCAGGCATTGTGATCTTGCTGGTGTTCCGTCAGCTCCATCCACAGCGATAGCAGGGGGACACATCTCCTCGACATGCGGCTACTGTGAATCATGAACATGTCGTAGTGCAGCATTCCCGAGCGGTCATTAATCCCGATCCCCCGTCGCAATCTTCAGCAAAGAGCAAGCTAAAGGCAACGCTATAAGAACACCCCTGCTTGGTAGTGCAGGCCCAAATGTCGGACGACGGTTTCGATGCTGCGCCAATCCGCAGGGCCTGTCTTGCGGATACTTTGCTCTAGCCTTAGCAGTTTTTCATAGCAGCTGTTCTTGGACAAGTTTGGCCTTATCCTAGCATGTCGGAGGCCTGGGTCGAGTCAGCAGAGGCCAAAGAAGTGTCTCGTGAAGAGGAGGCGATTTCGCACACGTTTCTGCAATACCCGATTGTATGTCAGTGCTAGGAGCCGTGGCCGTGGTGCTATTATTCCAAAAAGACCTTCGCAACACTTGAGCGACGACTTTTTGAGGCTTTTGGGCTTGAAGTAGGTATTGCTGCATGATGCCCCATGTTACTCCCTCCCCGTCTTCCCTTTCCAACGTGCATTCAGGATTTGCATGGTGAGCACGGCGTGAGGAGATCTGAGCAGGGCAGGCGGGCCCATGCTGAGCGGATGCTGAGCATATGCCACAATGCGGTGAGGGCATGGCAGGTCAGAAGCTGAAGAGCCAGCTCTGCTCGAAACCCAGGCTCGCTGGAGCTCCTCAGACACACGCGTCATACGCGTAATGATTTGTTTGGGAAGCCTTTGCTTAGACCTGCACCCCCCCGGAGGGCGGCAGCTGCAGCAGCTTTGAAAGTGCGGATGAGGGCATGTGGCTGCCCAAGTGCATTTGCTCCAGGCAACGCATGTTGCCTTTATAGCACCGACAGATGCTTTCCCTCAAGTATTCTTCCTCAGGTAGGCACACGTCCAACTAATTCCTCCACCCCGCACCCTCCAGAACTATGTTCTTTCAACTCTGCAAAACCTCTGCACGCACGAGGCTCGACCTGTGGGATCTTTGCGGAGTCAGCGAGGATCCCGCAGAACCGAACACCGAGCCGGACCCCTACTGTAACGCAGAGGGCAGAAGCAATGCCAGTGCAGGCATCTCATACTGCAGGAAGTGCGGCAACGCCTTGTTTGCGCACGCTATGTATGCTGGTAGTTGCGATGGATTCTCCGAGTTGACAGCTGTAGCTAGTCGGATGCCAGTGTAGGCCAGACTCCCAGCTTCGGCAGCCGGCACGACCGAATCTGACGGAGATTCGAGATGCCAGTGTCCCAGAGTGTCCTCTGTGAACTGCAACCTTTGGCAAGTGTCCTCAAGTAGTCTTGACATCAGGCGGCTACGGAAATGCTGGGTGTCAATCTAAAAGTGCGGGATTCTCAGAGGTTGTCATGCTCACCGGAGATTACTGTGACTTTCCCGGCAGCATGGCTAGTACGACCTTGATTTAACCCACCAACCGTGATGTGAATGGCATGTTGAATGGACAGTCTCATTTACTGAACTTGGGCTCGCGCGCGAGGAAAGGCGGCAGCAAGCGCCTCCGTGAATTACGTGACCATCTTGTCACGTGCGCTTGCATCTAAGTCCGCAGGAGGAGTGCTATGGATAGAGAGCTGTAGCTGGCAAAGCATCTTCAATTCAGGTCAGGGCATTGCCGGACGACCCGCTCCGAGTCTTTGGCCTCAAGCTGCTGTCTTTCTGCAAATGTTTTCCATCAAAAATTGTCTGGGTTTAGGTGTAGCATCAAACCCAGCGGCCCCATGATGATTGGATTAGATCGTAGTAGGAATCCACCTGGGGTTTGTGGACAACATGGACGGCAGCACAAAACGACGAGAAAAAGAAACAACGATGACCCGATTCAGTATGAAGAAAAGATATGGCGTTTTCATGCAGCCCCACCTCATTAGCCCGCTGTACTAATAAGAAGAGCTATTTTATTGTCTTCAGGAACCGCTCTTGGAACGTTTGCACGAGATGAGCAGCAAGCTCTCTGCTCGAAGCCAGGCAAGCCTTCCTGAGCACAAAAGATGGCTGACCGATAAACTTTTTGGTGATCACTAGGGAATTGCGCAATGGATCCCTATACTCGTCCTTGTTGCTAACGACTTCGTGTCCCAGGAGTCCTGGCAGCCGCAGCTCAAACAGGCCGAGTCTGCTTGTGTTTGCTGTGCTTTGTGCAGCACCGACGTGTCTTTGTGTCACGATCAGCATGGCAAGGTTGTGGAGATGCTGAGCTAGCTGACTGACGCCTCCAAATCTGGCGCTGAGTGAAAAAAAGACCTGGCGGACTGAACTTCTAGCCCAGGTTCGTGGTGCATTCAGCAGCATGAAGCCAGCACATGCTGGACCATGATGTATTTGCAACGTCTGTGTGGATGGATGTTTTGATTGACAGCTAAGGGTTTTTGGCAACTCGCAGGGGAACACAGCGGCCGTCCAATGAATCTGCACCCTAGGAAAATGTACCTACTTGCCTTTATCGAAGGGCGCCCCTCTTCCCCTAGCCCCAGCCGGAAGGTCCCATCAGAGGCCCGAAAAGGGTTGTGTTTATGAGCAGGTTAATTAATTAGTAGGCAAGTGTCATTACACAGAATAAGCAGATAATCCTGATTGCCAGGTGGGCCATAACCTTCTGCTTTCCCCCATTTTCAGTGCGTGTGTGCGTGTGTCATGATTGCTTGTAGTTGACTGCTGCCCATCCCCAGCGTCAAAAGATCACGTCTCCAGTGTCAGGATAGCATGGCCGAAGCTAAATGAGAACAGGACCAGTTAGTTCAGAAGCTGCGCCGTCAAGCTTTGCAATGCCATCTGGAACATGGAATCGCAAGGTGCTGAGGAGGCTGCAGGTGCCTTATCGATAAATCAGAGACATGCTGCAATGTAGAAGCTTAGAAAACAAGATTAATGGTCTCACAAGCGCGGGATGTGTTCTGCAAACGGCTGTGAGCATGTTGGCCGAAGCTGATTGTTTTGGACGCCTCTCCAAACACACAGACAGGTAGAAATCAGAAATGGAGCCAAATGCAAG